GATTCGTTTGATGTTGGTGGCACCGCGTTTTGTGACCTCGATTTAAAATCCACCATCTTATCACGAGTTACCAAAAGCACAGAATCAAGGTCCATTGAGTAAACATACTGTATAAGGTTATCCAACTCCCTATGAACGCTGTTGTTATCCATCAACGTATCCATCTTTAGAGACGTACGATTATAGTTCTAGGTATAGTGTTACTTTTAGTGATAGTACTAATGTAAAACCAGAACTAACACTATACCTAGAACTAGAATCATTCAAGTTTAGCCGTTTTTAGAGACGTGTAGCTAAACCCAAATGATTTTAGTTCTAGGTCTAGTGTTAATTATAGTTTTAATTGTTATTAAGCGCTAGTAGAACTAGAATNGATTCTACAAGAAATTTACAAAAAACAAGCGACTTATACATTAAAGTTTCATACCATATTGCACATCGCATTGCTGTTAATAAAAAAACACCATAGGAGATCTTATAAAACCTTGCATAGTGGATGCAGTAAAGTTTGTTGTGAGCGAACAATATGTTGCTAAAATTAATCAAATATTTCTCTCCACCAGCACAATTCAAAGTCGTATTGAAGAAATGAATTAGCCTAATCTGAACTAAAAGCATGTCCCATGTTTGCAGTTGGACGAGTCAACTAACGTGTCTTCGTGTTAAAGAATATTTGTTTTCTAAATCGCTTCCAACCACTACGCGCGGTGAAGATGTAATTCTCACTCTAAAACAATTTATTGAGGAAAATGATCTGAAGTGGTCATCATGTGTTCGTTCTGGTTTTCAAGCATTCGTGAAACAAGTTGCCCCACAACGCATAACTTATCACTGCATGATACAACGATATGCCTTGGCTGTTAACACGCTACCTTCAAATTTCGTGACCGTGTTTAATGATTTAGTGAAAATTTGCAATCATATTCCGAGCGGTGTTATGTCATGAAGTTTGTTACGAAATTTGATGCACTAGTGTTCGATACCGAAGTACGTTGGCTGTCAAGGGGATATGTTTTAAACAGAGTATTTAAGATGCGCGAAGAAATAGCTTTGTTTTTTGAAAATCGTAAAACAGAAAAGAAGGCATTTATCTCTATGTTGGCGTATTTGACTGACTTTTTTAGTGAAATTAACACATTATATCTCTCATTACAAGAAAATATGAGCAATATTCTGATGAGCGCAAGACAAGATTGCTGTTTTTTTGCGAAAACTAGAACTTTACAAACGTAGCGTTCAAGTTAATAACATATCACTTGTCTTGAAACATTAACCGCATACAACGAATAAATATGCTATTTCACTAATTCCATAGTTCAGAGGGTAGGAAAAAATTACGATGACTTTATTTTAATCAAAAATCATTGATTTTTTTTTAAATCAAAGTATTTTACGTATCTTTTATTTTTTAACCTTGGTTTTGATCTTTTCAAGTAAGTACGGACGCATCATTCAGGGTCACTTAATAAGGAAGAAAAAATAAAGTGTTTTGGAAGTCTTTGTATGTAACGTAAACATATCAGTTGATGGTTGGTCTAATGTACTTACGTAATGACTCTATCCTGTGTGTCACAATAACTACTGAACGTGGAAACGCATTCTTGTATGAAACAATAGAACTGGTGTGAAGTTATCCATAAATCCCAGCAATAAACTTAAAACATTAATAATTCCGTAACCAATACGATTTGGGTAACCAAATTTCACACACAGGTCACTCTTACCCTCAAGAACAGCTAACCACCCCCATTTGGTAAAAAAAAAATTTTTCAACCCNCTACAAGAAATTTACGAAAAACAAGCGACTTATACATTGAAGTTTCATAACACATTGCACATCGCATTGCTGTTAATAAAAAAACACCATACAATAGGAGGAGATCTTATAAAACCTTGTATAGTGGATGCAGTAAAGTTTGTTGTGGGCGAATAATATGTTGCTAAAATTAATCAAATATTTCTCTCCACCAGCACAATTCAAAATCGTATTGAAGAAATGAATTAGCCTAATCTGAACTAAAAGAATGTCCCATGTTTGCAGTTGGACGAGTCAACTAACGTGTCTTCGTGTTAAAGAAGAATATTTGTTTTCTAAATCGCTTCCAATCACTACGCGCGGTGAAGATGTAATTCTCACTCTAAAACAGTTTATTGAGGAAAATGATCTAAAGTGGTCATCATGTGTTCGTTCTGGTTTTCAAACATTCGTGAAACAAGTTGCCCCATAACGCTTATCTTATCACTGCATGATACAACGATATGCCTTGGCTGTTAACACGCTACCTTCAAATTTCGTGACCGCGTTTAATGATTTAGTGAAAATTTGTAATCATATTCCGAGCAGTGTTATATCATGAAGTTGTTACGAAATTTGATGCACTAGTGTTCGACACCGGAGTACGTTGGCTGTCAAGGGGATATGTTTTAAACAGAGTATTTAAAATGCGCGAAATAGCTTTTTTTTTTTAAAATAGAAAAGAAGGCATTTATCTCTATGTTGGCGTATTTGACGGACTTTTTGAGTGAAATTAACACATTATATCTCTCATTACTAGAAAATATGAGCAATATTCTGATGAGCGCAAAGAGACAGAAGAAATTTAAAAAAAAGACAGAGAAATAAAGCTTTCCACTGTCTAGAACAGCAAGGTAAACCCATGAAAAAAATCTCAGATCAGATTCATCCACTAGCCAGAAGAAGGAACATCAGTTCAAATTCCTGTCCATGATGTTGACCGCGGAAGAGGAGATGCTCGATCTATCCTTGGCGTGGTACTGGAGGTTGTCAATGATGGATTTTATCGAATTGGAACAAGAAATGGAATTCTAAAGCATCTTTTCTCAAGGTAATTTTTCCAAGCTAAAATGAAAGATCTCTCTCTCTCTCCCTGCCCATAGCACAGTATAACCAGAAATGACACTGACGTCGATTCGTTTGATGTTGGTGGCACCTCGTTTTGTGACCTCGATTTAAAATCCGCCATCTTATCACGAGTTACCAAAAGCACAGAATCAAGGTCCGTTGAGTAAACATACTGTATAAGGTTATCCAACTCCCTATGAACGCTGTTGATATGAACGTATCCGTCTTTAGAGACGTGCGATTCTAGTTGTAGGTATAGTGTTACTTTTAGTGATAGTACTAATGCAAAACTAGAACTAACACTATACCTAGAACTAGAATCATTCAGGTTTAGCCGTTTTTAGAGACGTGTAGCTAAACCCAAATGATTTTAGTTCTAGGTCTAGTGTTAATTATAGTTTTAATTGTTATTAAGCGCTAGTAGAACTAGAATCATTTGGGTTTAGCCGTCTTAAGAGACGTGAACCAGAACTTTGGTAACTCGCTATAATATGGCGTCAGATTTAGCGGGATACTGCCACTGTCACTTCTGGTTATTCTGTGCCCATAGTATTAAATTGTTCAGAGTTCAATAATATTTTTTCAGTTCTCAATTCAGTAAATGTCCTACAAGTATTATCCAAGAAAATGAAGTTCCTATGGATAAAACAATAGCTGTGAGGATTGTTGCAACTTAACAATCACTTGGAAATGGACAAGGATTTTTTAAATGCTTTTGCAACACTAAATACAAATCCATGAGGTGCATGTGTAAGAAGAAAGATGTGCTTTGCAACTCAAAGTGTCACAAATCTTTGCCTTGCTGTAATAAATGATAAACATGTCTATCTGTATGTATTATAAAGGTTTTGCATTTTTATTACTTTTTGATAAACTTTTCTATCTCTTTATGTATTAATAAAGGTTTTGTCTTTTTATGTGTTTTTTATTAGCTAGATAATAGACCCTTTCCTTGTAAGAAGACAACTTTTACTCAAGACAGTGTGAGTATACTTTAACTAGGTATAGTAGATGTTGATCAAAATTCAACACTTTTCGCTTTTAATCAACTTTTACTGAAAAGACCAGTAAGAGTCGACTTTACCTAGGCAGAATCAACTTTTACTGCAAAATCAAAAGAAATATAAAAAGATTACTTGATTTAAATCATTGATTAATATCGTGTTTTAAATCGGGCGAACGCTGATAGTTCTTTGATTAATTTGTTGAACTAATATTTCCCAGACCATCAAGCTTCATCCTGGATACTGAGATTCTTTTCTACAGATGAAAAAATCTTCAAAGATGAAGATGTTGCAGGTAAAGTTGGAATTTCACAATTGTATCCTAGCTATGTTTTGGACAAAGATGAAGAGTGAATATTTTATTTTAGGTGACAGGGTTTTAAGAATTCTAATTCCATTTGGGAATACATATAAATGTGAGAGTAGCTTTTCAACTTTGGGTTCTTATCAAAATAAAATCTAGGAATTGTCTAAGTGAAAAGCATGACGTATGATGATTTATCAGACAGTAAACCAAACAAAAAAAATCTTGTTAGGAAGAAGCAACATCAACCATCCCATTAATTATTGTTCAAAATGTATGTGTAATGTATTTAATAATAAAAACATTATTATAGTACTGTATGGTATTTGTATGGTAATGATGGTGAACCTACCTGGTTTACCTAGCAAGTAAATAAAACCAAGTTATTATATTCTGTGTTTTTATCCAACTTAGCATAACAAAAATAAGCCATTACCTGTTGCAGGCTGGATTAAGCCTATGGGCCAGAGTTTGGATGCCGGTGTATTATATGCAACAATGAATGAAAACAATTGGTTGATACACTCTGTATACTGTTGTTATACTTTTGCTACACAATGTAACTTTTTCTTTTTTGTGTAATTTATTTCTCTCAAGATTTTTAATAATTTCCTTCCTCTTAAAACATTTAAATTATAATACTTTTCAAAAATGTTAATAACATTTCTGTTTATAGATTTTACAGAAACAAACTCAAGATAAATTTAAAAATTTGATTGAAATATTGCAGAAAATTATTTAAAATCATTGAAAATTAGTAACTGTTTAATTACTTCACATGACTTTACATTGAATCCCACTTAATGAGTTGATATTCGTTAAAACCCACCTTATTATACAATTTTTAAACTTTTTAAGCTTTAAGTTTTACATCCCTGAATTTTTGCTTGATTTTGTATTAAACCTCACAAATATTTTCATCACTCATATCTAAAAACTAAACAATATAACATAACAATCAAAATTATTTGTTTCATTTGAGCTTATACTTACAATTTTTACCAAAAATCCTTAAAAACTTGGTTTCAATACAAAGCTCCAGTAACAAACACATTGAGTAAAAAGTACATTTTTTGATCACTTTTCAGTTTATTTTAAGTGTTGTTTTCGGTCCACCTTATCTTCTAGGATGGTAACATGAAAATTTTGTCCATTTCCAATTGAAATTTGCCAAATATGTCTTCATAACACAATAACTTTGAACAAAAAACCTATCAATGGCAACTGTTTGAGTAATGTGAGGTTTTAAGTTTTAACGACACAGTAAAAGTATATTTCTCGTCAAGTATCGATTCAATTCTTATTTCGCGTGTATTTCGAACGGGAAACCGCGAAAATCCATCGTTTTTGCAAATCTGTCTCTCGGATTAACAAACTTTAGCCGCCATTTTAGCCATTTTCGAGTCGACATAACAATTCAATGCCATCTACTAACGGGTAGGTACACTAAGTGTTAAAAATATTAAAATAAATTTTAAAAAAAACTTTATTTATTATGAAATGATATATTTTCAATTATTTACTCTTATTTGTTGTAATATAAATCATATTTAATTTGAAATAATTAATTTAAAAAGAAATAAATGAATGAGGTGGACTATAAAACAGCTGTCAATCTACTGTCAGCTTGACAGTTCGCGTCCAACACCTTTTGAATACAGTTCTTGCCCAAATTATTAAAAAATTTTTATTTTTTTTCTTATTTTACATAAAATAAAAATTATATAAAATGGCCAAAGTAAGTATCTTTAAATATAATGTTTTATTTAAAAGAATTCAAAATAGAATAAAATTGAGGTTAGATTTTCGAATTAATAATACTTTCAGTTAACCTATTATTTATGCTATTTCTTAATTATTTCAAATATTTTACGGTAATTTTTTAACTATAAAAACAACGTGCTAAATTCTAACTCCAATTATTTCTTAACAACAATAAAAGCCTTTGTTTTAAAAGCAGGAACCCACCGTGTATTCATTTTTAGATTAGATAATAAAATAAAATACTGTTGTAGTTTATATAGGTTACTTGCATGTAAATATGTAACTTTGAATGATTAATACTCTTTTTTCAGGTTGTGTGTCACGAATATCGTGTGGAAATGACTTGCGATGGTTGTTCCGGAGCTGTGGAAAGAGTTTTAAATAAAATAAAAGGTTAAAATCACAATGCACACAATTTTTGGTTCAAAACTAACCTTTATTTCTAGATAAAGGCATTGAAAAGGTTGATATAGACATGGCAGAGCAAAAAGTATTGGTGAAAACATCACTCTCTGCTCAGGAAATTCTCGAAGTGATTAAAAAGACTGGAAAATCAACTGAATATATTAAATCATTCTAATGAAAATGAGAGAAAAGAGATTATTTGATATAAAATTAAAAGAATGGGTTGCTATTTTTAATTATTTGTATTTTATTATCTAATTATATAAATATTTTCTTTTTGGTGAGGATTGTTTTTTATTATCCATTTGTTTTTGGTAAATGTGTGGTAGTATTAAGAGAGATTAAGCTGAATCAGTTTTTATGAGGAGATAGAAGCAGTATCACTTGCGCCTACACATGATTTTATTGAATAATTGATTAATGTTTAAGTTTTGTATTCACATTTCTCTAAATACATAACAGAGACCTGCATGAATAGTTTCATTCGCCCAAATGAAACATTCACAAAAAAACGAATCAACACTAAAACGACATCAAGAGCGCGCTGCAATGTAACACACGATTCGCTCAATATGGTGTAGTGTCGTTCTACAATATCAAGCAGTAGGCGTCTCTCTCATATGTAACGAAAAACAGCGATCGTCAAAAGTATTCGCGAATCATTTCAAATAATTCATTGCCTCACTTACACAATAGTGCTTTCGTACACAATCGTTATTTTAGTACCGAACATAAATAAATTAATGTTAAATTGAATTTAAGACACAATTTAAATTTATGCAAAGTTATCTAAATTTGGCTAAACTTATACAAAATTGTCTAAAATATTCAAAACGTATCAAAATTTCACAAAATAGTTCAAAATGTTACTGAAATTATGTAAGCTTGTACAAAATTATTTAAAAGCGTTCAATTTGTCTTAAATTGTTTAAACTTGTTTAAAACCGTATATTTTATACGATCAAAATGTGGCTAATGTGGTATTATTATTTATTAATATTTATGAAAGCACAATTTAAAAATGTTCAAAACTATGACTGGTGTGAAGTTATCCATAAATCCCAGCAATAAACTTAAAACATTAATAATTCCGTAACCAATACGATTTGGGTAAGCAAATTTCACACACAGGTCACTCTTACCCTCAAGAACAGCTAACCACCCCCATTTGGTAAAAAAAAATTTTTCAACCCTCACCCCCGAAAAAGGG